TGATGATTTGTGTCAACTATTGTTGTCTTATTTGCCGATCAAAGAGCGGTTCCGATACGAAGAGGTGTCCAAACAGTGGCAGAGAGTTATATACAACTTATATGAGACACAAACAGAGATCTCGTATTCTTTCGACTCAAGGGATGAAAAAGCATTTGCATTAATACTAAAAAAGTGTCAAAACATCACAACTATTGACTTCATTCACACAAAAGATAATTTTGAATCAATTATGAAATACTGCCATAAATTGCATTCAATTAGTTTTACCCTTAAAAGTGATGAAAACGCGGAAACAATTGATAAGTTTTTTACAAAATATGGAAAACAATTGAAATTTCCTCAAATCAAAAGTTGGGCGGAAATCAAAGCACTTATTGAACAGCGACTCAAGTGTTGCACTAATTTAACACAAATTAACACTAATTCCTGTCCATTGTCTGTATTATTGAGTGATAATAGAAATGAGATATTGTTTAAGAATTTACAAAAAGTGTACTTAATATTTGGTGACGAAAACATCAATAGTTTTGAAGCATTTGTGAGAATATATGGCAAACAATTGAAAACATTGAAAGTTTTGACTTACAAGACATTAGCAGATAATTCAATACTAATGACTGCTTTGTCACAAATGACTGAATTAATTGACATAAGTATTGACACGTATTACAAGTCCGACACTATATCTTGTGATCAATTGAAACAATTGGGTATTAATTGCCCGAAACTCAAGAGACTATCACTTAATATGCATAACGATTCAAACGATAGTTTTTGTAAAACTATTCAAACAATTAATGATTATTTCAATCATTTAAAGCGTTTAAAAATCACCGAACCGTTTGTCAACAAATTTGTATTAATGAGTGAATCGTTGAATAAATGCAAACAATTAACACATTTATCGATCGGTAGACTTTCTATAAATGAAGATTTTATTACTAATATTGCCAATGATTTACCGAAACTTCAATTTTTATGCATTAATTACAACAAAATGACAGCAAATATATTGAATTCGTTGTCATTATTACCAAAAAATACAGACCATTAAACTTTCTTATGGTAAATACGACAAGAATATTACTCTCAAACCTCTCAACGATTGGAAATCACCAAAAATTATTGGCGTTTATATTAATAGCGAAAATGTGTTCAATACAACTGATGACAACTTTTCAGACACCGACTCTATTGACACAATCACTTCAGACACCGACTCTTCGGACACCGATTGAGTCGTTAGACTCTTAACCACTCAATGATTGCGAAGACTTCACACATACTTTTTACTAATAATTATTTAATTTGTAATTACGGTAATTTCAATTTTTAATAAGTATTGCATTTATTATAACAAAATGATTGTTAACTTAATTTGCATTTTTAAGTGATGTTAAACTGAATCAATAATTTTGTGTTAATTTATTGTTTATAATTAATGTGTTTAAGTATTGATTCAATATTTTGTCAAATTTAATAATTATTAAAATTTGTATTAAATAATTATATGTTTTAAAAGTGATTTCCATTTTTTACATATAAGTTTTGTTTGGCTTATAATTAGTGTTGAAAATAGTGTCCAAAAGAAAGCGCCGTTTGTATTGAAAACTGTGGTCTCAATTGTATTCAGACATTCGCCAAGTGATGGATATATGCGGCCAACACTTTAGTGCCTGAGATATAGTTCTTGCGGTCAATCTTCTCATTCTGTGAGTGCGCGCAGTCATCACAACCGCCTATTGGGGGGACAGAGGGTTGGGTTCATTCACATTACATATAGTATTACCGATTGGTAACAGAAGGACACTCTTTCCGGTCACCTCTTCGAAGGTTAGGGCCACTGGTATTGAACCGCTTTCTCGGGTCAGATCGGGATCCGCGCCAAACACTGTGTGTCCACACAAACAATGAATTTAGTAATAGTTTAATAACTATTAATAACTAATAATAGTTAAGTTTTTATTTAAAATAACTAAAAGACTGATTACCGGCACGAACGGCGAGTTTAGCGGCCGTGAAGTTCTGGTTGCGAGTGTCGGCGACCCACGGCTTACTCGGCGGTCGGTTGACGACAGACAAGCGGTTCGGCGAATCGAGTTTCGCGAACTCTGCGGTCAAATACGCGATCAC